TTGTCATTGCATATGCTTTCATATCATAAGTTAAATAGTTTCAGTACTCAAGTAGATACGGAATTTAGTGGTTTTAAATAGTGTTTCGATTGGTTCTGCAAAATGAGCTCAGAGTATCAAAAACATTTCAAGTACAATGTAACAACATCATGAGTATAAAATTACCATGCACCAAGCTACTTATACGTTAATACATTATATCACAATTGATTAAGTATAACTTTTAATGAGCTTAAGATGTGCCCCCTTCACACATTGGAAACCAAACACCATATTTAAAACCACTGTATTCAAATCATTTACAGACATGCAAATTGAGTGACAATATCAATGGTGAATTTAGATTATGCATAGAAAATTCACAATATTCAGGATTCTAAACTGAATTAAAAGCAACTTACCTGAATTCATGCTGGATTCTTCTAAATTTGCATAAGCATTCTTAAAAGACATACTGCTGTTAGGTGTTTCATATTCAGTACTACGTTTCTGGTTTCCCAGACGCCTTATATCTAAAAAGCAAAATGAATTATTCAATGACTGTGTTGGAATAATTCTGCAATATTAGACAAATAACAAATTTTGCCTGACAGATTTGTTCACATTTTAAGTTTACTTCCAACAAACTCAGAAGTATCTCTTCTGTTACCATTAGAGATTTCTTTATATAATGTATAATTATTGTCATACTACTGTACATAACTTTTTAGTGTATGGGAGGACTATAAATAGTAATGATTTAAATCATTCAATATATAACAATATATATCCCCACCAATTCTCGGGGGCGAAGCTACATATGTCACAGAGCATTCTATGTTGCTTGGACTTGCACCACTGTACAATGTATTTCTGGGTGCTATGTGTGGGCTGCTGTGGAACGCCGGTCAAGGAGCCAGTGAAAACAGCTTAAGTCACGGAAACACTTACCTTCTTATTATAAATACTGCAACTATTATTGCTACAACAACTAAAAGAACCACAACAACACCAACAGCAACACCAACAGCAGAACCACCTGGTCCAACTCCACCTTAAACATGAAACAAATTTACTACTATCATTTTAAATGTATTGACGGAAAATATATTTATACACAAGTAGTAATTATTTCAACTTAGTTGGTAAATGTAGAGCAATAATTATACTACTCAGACACAGTGCAGTGGCTGAAGTAATAAAATACAAAACAGTACAATAAATTTGTTGCAAACGAAAGCCAGACTTCTCATCTCTGAAAGACAGACATGGAATACAAAGTTGAGGGAACATACAATAGTAAATTTTCAGAATACGCAGATATGATAGTTTACAAATCAAGCAGTTAATCTAAAGTCAGGAGAGATAATTTCTCATTATAGCTGTCATTTGCCAACAATGTATAACTGAAAATACCTATACCTTGAAATGATGATATTGGTTGATCTGTCAATAGTAATTCCTCCACCTGTAAAGTAACAACATAAAATGATATGTGATATGTAGGACACCATTACAGTTTAGCAATGTGTAAATGGCATAGTCATGGTTTTCCTGGTCTGCATGTATACACTGCTAAGCCATGAAAGAGAGTAAACAGATAAATACGGCTGCGACCAATAAATATGATGTATAGTAGATGATATTTGGTAATTGTTGTTCACAATAGCTAGATTTTTCAAGTAATGCCTCTTTTTTGGTAGGATTTGATTGTTATTTAGTTTACAAACATAATGAAACATGGCCTTTGAATCAAAATCACAATTGCAAACTGATGTGCAGCAAATGTGTGAGGTCAATGATGTTCATTGTATAGATCAAGTTTTAAATCAATCAGTTAGTGAGTAACTGAAATCAATTTATAGAATATATGAGCTGATGTGTGATGTATGTGTAAAAGTTATTCTAAGTCCAGAACTATACGAGATGTGGCTATATTGAAATGCATTCGTTTAAAGAAGATGACTGCCAGTCAATCCATTTTGGATTAGATGCATGGTGGCAAAAACACATTGTGTATTAGTCTTATATGATGTCCAATGTATGTGTGAATTTAAACTTCACTGGTCCATGCATGTGTGAGATACTGCTGGATACATACAGAGATGGACAAATGCATACCCTTACGAAAAACTTTTGTGGAGTTCTATAGAATTCTTTTGAATTCTACAAAATTATATAGAATATCTGTGGAATTTTTTTCTATAGAATAAATTCTATATAATTTTAAATTCCATAGAAAATCTGATTGCTTAATTTTGTTTTGGTCACAGAATTCTTGTTTCGTGGTTCGGGCGATCAAGGCATTTCTTTTGATTGATAAGGTGTGGGATGCACTTTGATCTATGTACGGTAATATAGTCATGGGTGATAAGCAATGGACATCAGCATTGACCAGAGTTACGTCATTATCATGTTCAATTCAGATGAAGAATCAGTAGTCAAAAACTAGAATAGCGACAAACATAGAATTATCATGGTGTTGAAATATTGTTGAAAGTCTTTGTTCAAGTCGTAAAATTCCCCGGAAATATATAAAATACAACAAAGTAACACAGTTAGGGTTAAAAAGACCTCTATTGTCTGCAAATGTTGTTGTTATTTCTTGCAAATACTGCATAAAATATAATAGAACTTAATTTGATACAATAAGTCACACAGATTATTGATGTTAACATTGACACAAATATTTTTAAGGAAAACATTACATGTTTCCAACTTTAAAATGACAAAAATACAGAACTTTCTTTATTTTGCTTACTGTATTAAAAAGTTATTGTGTAGCATAAAAATATATTTTAAATACATTTGAAGCATGTATTAGCATATCGTTTTCTGTGTAAACACAACTTTGCTCCGGATAACAAGTTTAAATGATAGAGTGAAGCATCTAAATTCTGTCATTTCCTGTCTGGTGGATAAATGATTAGAGGAGGAGTCATTGTTCCACATGACATGATGTCAACAAACCTAATTTATTTAAACATTTTGAAAACATTGCCCTAATGTCTCAATATTTACATTCACCTTTAGGGACTGCATCAAAGCAATTTGGCTGAGACTACAGAGGAGACTAAAAAGTGGAATCTGACACTTTTTTTTATTTATTTCACTCTATTTACAATTAGGATAATACATGTATACAGCTAAGAATTTTTTTAGATTGTTCCTAAATTGTACTGATTGAATGTGATTTTTTTTATATAATTAAATGTAACTATTCAATGTTTATTTTTCCTGTGAATTAATAAAGTTTTGTCATTTGGCAATGTTGCTTTGCTTAGGCTTGGTTGAGAACTTGAATGTTGCTCAATTAAAACCTTTAAATGACCTGTAGAATTCTATATGAAAGAGCCAAAATGTACAAGTTCTAGAACTCCGTAGAATTTCTATAGAATTTCTATAGAATTCCGTAGAATGTTTATAGAATTTGTTAGTATTTTAATAGAATTTTATAGAATTCTATAGCATTTTTTCGTAAGGGTACACGCATAACGCATGTTCAATGCATGAAGCTTGGTTTTTATGCTGCATAATAATTTAACCATGGGAATCAGTGAAAATGCGAATTTTGACCATTTTCGCCATGACCATGGCCTTTAGGACTCTTTTATTTGGAAAAATTGTCCGGTGACCCCTAATTTTTTTAAAATTTGTATCCTGATTGCTTTGACAACCTGATTATCTTACCCCTGTAGTATACACTGCAAACCCATCATATATGACATATTGTTGTCCAGCTGTTAATGGTTTATTGATATAACCATTATATTCCATACCATCACCCACTATAAGTTGATCAGGGATTTCATTTAGTTGAAATGATGATGTGATATACTGGTTATCTTCTAAATCACGCTTTCTATTCTGCCTTTCCTCTTCCACAACAACAATATAACTCCTAAAGCATGAACAAATTAAATAAAGAATAATATATAGCGTTTGGAAAATCAAAATGTAAACATTTCCAGTGTAACCTCTTTGTAAATCAATAAGGAAAGGACATGTGTGAAATGACTCATTATTCACACAGCACTGAACAACTTCCATCAAACTTAATTGTTGTTAAGGTTTACAAATCAACATTCTTTGTTCAGACATATTTGTATCTAAGACAAACAAACACACACATAAATTGTATACAGATGTAGTAGTAACAGAAGTCATTTAAAGAATGAGTGAATACAAATTGCACCCTCTTTAGGAAAAACTTGAATCAATTTTTCAATAAAAATTTTAAATTTCAAAATTTAGCTACCAAATATTGCCACTTTCAAGATTTTTCTTATTTGTGTATAAAGAGTGTAGACACTGCATGGCTTAATATGTCCTATAAAACCTTCTGCTTTTTGTGCATGTATGCATACTGGTATTAACTTTTTCACGATGTGCTATACGAGAGACAGAGAATTGAAGCATTTGTGTAATAAGTATACACTAGTCTACTATTGACATATGTACCATACCAGTATACATTATAAATCATACTTACATAAGTTGTGTATCAGTCTTTATGTCTGTGTTTGACTTGGGTTTTCTCAAATCAATTGTAGCAGTGGTTTCTGTTAATATTGGTTCACTTTTTTCAGACTCCTCCAGAATATCAGAAACACCAACCTAAATGCAATTATGTATCAAATATTATTAATGACACTATTTATCACATATTATCAACATCATTATGTATCATATAATATCAATGTCCCAACTACTTAAATTAAATGTCTTGCAGCTATAATTTGTGTCTCCCAACAATTCAAACAGAAATCACAATAAAGTTCAGTGTTTTATCTCATGGTCCAATTCCTGTTTTTTCAATTTAACATTCACTACCTTAGTTAATTACTTACTATTCATATGTCAAGTCTGTCCACATTCTCACAATTCACTTTGAAAATTTGTTTGGATTGTTACAA